CGTATTTACGTCAAAAAAAATTACTTAAAATACATTACTTATGAAAGTTTCCAGCTTTAATAGTAAAACTGCTGTCTTCATGCTAAATAAGACACTCGAGACAATTAAGCGGAAACGGTGAACTTTAATGTTACTCAGCAAGGCAGTACAAAAATTACACATTCACTACTAACACCCAAATGAGATACTAGATTTCATGCTTCATCTGAGCGTTCCAGCACCTTCACCATCACAAGACCTGTCTGATTTAGCCTTGACCCTAACCTGTTTCACCCACACCCCAACAAACCTCACCCTATTTACGAACACTGCTTCCTCCAAACCCTTTCCTCCTCAAGTACCCTCTTTGAACTCCACTGTTACGTGAAAAACGTTAGTTAGACTTAACCTTTGATTCCACCCTCCTTTACCATTCTTCATAATACCACTTGTTCCTCTTATCTGTCTGTCTCTCCCCACCAGCCTTCCTCAAACGTTTCCTGGCTGGGGTCTGCCTATTGCACCGAATCAGATTTCAGATTCTCACGGCGACAACTACGAACACGTCTGTCTTCAGTGATTCTCGTATTAATCTGACCAAGACAGAAATCTCCTCTGAATATTCTGTCAATTTCAAAGACACAGCACGACTTAACACCTCAGAAGACAGTAATCTTCAAATCTTATCCCTTCAATAAAACACTTGGCCACGTTTCACTTCACCTTGATTATACCCTCTTTCAGGCCCCAAAAAGGGCCGATTTTCCTCTCTCTCCGAACTCGGCCCTTACAACTTCCGCATGACCAAAACAGTCTTACTGACCTGAGCCATCTGCTTCACATTCCTCGCATCTGCAGAGTCTCGTATTTGATATTAATCACATCAAACGGGACGATTAGCGGACGTTTCAAATTCGACAAAAAAATGTACGCAGACCGCACAAAACATTTTGAGGGCTGCCACCATAAATTCTGAAACCTGAAGTATTTTTTCGCGTTACTGCAGACCGAGATACCCCTACAACAAAGGTAATGGCCGCCTCCTTTCTATTCCATTCCCACATGGCATTCGATATCATTTTCCCATCTCGATCATCACCAAGCAATTCCCCATGTCGTCAAACAATCTGATAGTTTCACAGGTCCAAGAATTCATCTGATGATGAGTAATCAAACAATAGCTGGCGATGTTCAGCCCTGACGATGGAGGCGGTATGTTCTTTCTGCAACGTTTCTTCAAGGAGACAAACATGAACACAGAGGTTTGGCATGAGACCATCTTAATTTCGGAACATCCTGCAAAAAGAAATCCGCGAACCACATCCTGAAGATGCACAGTTAGTAACGGAGTGCTAAATGATTTTATCCCACGTTTATTTACCTTACGCCAGTTATAGTCGGAATATGGTAATCGTCTATAAAGCTGCTAACAAATAACAAATGGGGGTATAAACAATGTATTCATGATATAGGATTGAGACTTTCGCGGCGAGTACAAACAATAAAATCTTCTCGGGCAATCAGCCGCGTTAGATGGTTACCGTAGTAAACCGACGTTTCGGGAACAAACTCGGAAATCGCCTGTGTACACAGGCGATTTCCGAGTTTGTTCCCGAAACGTCGGTTTACTACGGTAACCATCTAACGCGGCTGATTGCCCGAGAAGATTTTATTGTTTGTACTCGCCGCGAAAGTCTCAAATCCCAAAACAATCCGTTCGTCCCGAAACCTGCCGCCCCCTCTCGTAGACTAGGCTTATTCGCAAACCAATTCACTTGTTCCCTGTAATATCCTTAGACAACCAATGAGTTCTGATGTACAGATCGTGGGCGTATGTTTAATTTATGTCGCTTTGTTATGCTGATGTCATCTTCCACGAGCTATGAGAGACTTCCTCATATAGGATACAGCGACCAGACATAGCAGATGTTCCGCCGTCGAGAATGACGACGAAACAAAGGTCACTGGTTTGAATCTCGACCTCGAAACAAACTATCCAGAGTTACGTTTTTCATTTTCTTTCCAGAAAATATCACATCTTCTATCCCAGCAAGTTTGTGCCATGGTCTTCTATTTGGGTCAAGTTTACCAGCCACTGTGACATTTCTGCGTGGTTTTATTCGGGAGTCACTAGGTAATGATCAGACAATACCTTCAAATGAGCCAATCTCATATCGTTCGTTCAAATTTTCCTTGTTATTCGACACAGCTGAAACAGCGTTGTAAAATAACATAGAACTCCATCAACGACCCACGCATTCTTATACACGAGTGTCGTCATTTCTATGTGACGTTGAATTCCTACGGGCCTGTAGACTTTTCGACAATATCACGATACGGGCAGTCTGTACACCCCTAGTGAAATAACAGAGGCCAATGGTTCTCTTAATTATGTTCTAAGTGAGACAAATGCTTCAAAAGGCAACGAGTTTGTGGCATTTAAGAGATTACAAATTAGGAACTGACGCGCCCATGGCTTGCTGGCAGTTATATTAATACAAAGGAAGCCACAGTTCAGTTCAAACAAGAACAAACACGTCTGTACAAAACACCAAGTGGTTACAAATGGAAAGAGACATGCAGTTATACTATCACCACAATCAGTATAGCGAACAGCCATCGGGCCGGGTGACCGGGGTTCGATTCAGTCAAACGTGATCTGATCTAACCTAACCTAACCTAACCTAACCTCGCTGATATTGCGTTTTTTTTACAAATTGAAGGTTTGTGGCGACCCTGCGTCGAGCAAGTCTATCGGCGCCATTTTTACAACAGCCTGTGCTCACTTCGTGTCTCTGTGTCACATTTTGGTAATTCTCGCATTGTTTTTTTTAGACATAATGCTATTGAACACTAATAGACTACAGTATAGTGTAAACATAGCTTTTATATGCACTGGGAAACCAAAAAATTAGTGTGATTCGCTTTATTGCGGTGGTCAGGAACCGAATCCGCAATATCTCCGAGGTATACCTGTAATCGGTAACTAAAGCATGAAGGCTGGGTTCAACTCGAACGGAGTGCACCAACAGAAACATAGCGTAAATATTTTGCTCGCAATGTTGTCAAATTGAACTAAAAGTAACGAAGTATATCACAAATAATTTGTACTTTTGGCTGGTACGTTAGAAAAGGGAAATTTGTGTTTCTGGACGTTACCAGCTGTGTGAGGTGAAGTCATGAATGCTTTGTAGGTACGCAGACCTTGTCCTTAGACAATAAACTGTCATTATTTCACAATTTAAAAACTTCTCATGCTCTGACTAAACATCGCAATTGTTTTTCCAAAATTATAATGCCCTGCTTTTGTATTGGTGAGAAATTTAGTCTCCTATCCTCAAGAAAAACAAAAATTTCTGAGAATACTTGTGTAGAAAATTACACAGTGATAAACTTGGTATAGAATGTATGTGCGGATAAGACAAGGGTTCGATTCCCAACAGTGTAGGATTATTTAATTCGTCACACCCTCAGGGGCGACACCCAGACTTTGATCCAACTGGTATCAGGGATACAACATCCGAATAGTAAATCCAATTCAAACATCACCAGTGAAAGAACAGCAATGTAGTGTTTTTTTCGAAATACGTATTTTATTACTGAGCGATTCATCGATAAAACATTTACTGTTACAATAAAGCGTTAGTCTTTACCGGTTTACAAGTTTACGTTCGGTAACATTTTTCACTGTACAATCACTCGGCTAAGTTCACCAAACTCCCGACTCTCGTACGCCAACTGCAATCAGCACACTCTATCGGAGACAGTAGAACTCCAAGGGCAGGTGGACTCCATGAAACTAGCATTTTAATGTATATTTTCGTGGTCTGAAAAACCGACTTCACTGATTGTATTTCGCAAGACGACAGTCAGACAACTATATTCAGCACGTTGCCCACGGGGAACAAAAATATACGGTAAGTATATCCCGGTTTAATTATGACGCTACTCTGAAGGCTGATCAGTTCTTAGGAGCTTTCACAATACGTTTTTGTACATTATTCTTCTTCTGCTACCGAAGCGACACGAACCTCACGCGTCCACTGAGCAAATTATAAATAGCCTTTACAGTTGTGCTGCATTAAAAATGTAACATAATTAAGTACAATGATAGAATCGCACTCACTAACATATTCAATGGAACAGAGCCCCTCTTGAAAATGTGATGGCCTCAACCAAGAAATTCCCAGCTTTTTAATGAAGCCGAAAGTTCACAAGATTCCACCATCGGTCCCTATTCTGAGTCACATTAATCCATTTCACATCATCCATCACCATTTCTCTCGGATCCATTTTAATATTATCCTACAATCTGAGCTTCGGTCTTCCTAAGTAGGTAGTAACGTTCCTTCAGGCTTTAACTTGGAAGGCACGCCTTCCGGTAAGCCGTAGCGTGTGTGGCCACCCTGAAACCAAGTAGTGACTTCCGTTCAGGCTTACCAACTAAAACCCTTATCTCCCTAAGTCCCAAACATATTCTCCTTTTGAACATCCACCCACTTATCACTTAAACCATTTTAGGACCAAATACTCCCGTCACTCAAACAACCTCAATAAAATTATTATTTTTTATATTTTTAGATAGCAGACGGGAAAGACAGAAGATTTTGAAATATACGACGACAAACATTCCCGGAATAAATTAATCTGTCGACGGTGTTGCCAATTGCACACGTCCGTGAGAGACCAAAGTAAACTAGGCTACTGGAATACGGAAACCGGGCTACAAAGTGTGTAAGAAAAGTATCATGGAATGCACAAGTTGCAGTATCAGCAGCAGGATGTAGATGAACGCGTGAGAAGAGCGAACAGCAGATCGCCACCTTACACTGGGGTCGGCCGATCTGCCTACTCTGACACTCACAGGCCAAAAGCCATTCAACAAAACACGTGGATCGTCTGCTGCATTTTTCCAAAACACGATCAGTACAACACAAAAATTATTTACTTCAAAACCTTACATTTCCAAGACGGTACAAAGCCCATCCAACGGATACAGCACTGTGTTGGAACTATGATCTTATAGACGTTTCGACATCCAGCCTCCTTCCTCAGAATCGAAAAAAAAGGTTAAGTTAATTTTTTTCTTCTTCTTTAGTGTTCTGTCTGACGACAGGTCCATATGAACAGGATCCTTCCATCCTTTTCTCGGACTGGGACCTGTTCATATACGTTCTTGGCAGATGATCCAGAAGTGGTTTGCCATTGCCTTCTTCTGTGTGTGAATGGAGTAATTGTTGGGATGCCACGGAGGAAAACTCCGTGTTGCCTAGACCACGGCCTTGCCCAACACAAGTTATAAATTCGGGCACCGCCGGGAATCGAACCCGAGACCCCAGGATTACAAGGCCAACGTTCACAAATTCTGGTTTGCAATTAATGTACAAACAGCTTGCAACAAGAATCCCAAATACTCACATATTCACACGTCTTGACTTTCGTATTCCTCCATTAACAGCTAGTCACCCATTCAACAAATTACCACGACGTTCCGACACAATTTTCAGCTTCGACGGCAAAGATTTTGTTATCACGATTATTAAAAACGTCAACAGTGGACCAGCCTACACTTTTATTAAAATTTTGGAGCACAAACGCGTTATAAAAGAACGTGAAGTTAAATCTGTAACACGACGAACCACGTGTGGTTTTTACCTGCCTCTGTACAAGACAGACGGATGCTGAGGTTACAAGATTTCATTATTACATATTGGCCAACTTCGTGGGGTTTTTTTGGGGGGGGGGGGGGGATGTGAAGAAAATTTACTCCTCCCCTTGATAAAAATTACTGGAGACTCATTAATAGACATTGGTAGATACTATCATCAATTGTGTACGCTAGTTAGAATATCTTGTAATACCGAACGGACGTGTCGTTAACCGATTAAGAATCGGACACAGCAAGCGAACTCTGGAATACAGCGTAA